ACTCCTTTTTAATTTCAACAAAAAAATTATATTATTTTTAAATAAGAGAAAATAAAATTTTAATCATTTCTTCTTATAAGAAAATTTTGTTTATTAAGTTAATACCATTTTTTGATGAAAAGTAAACGGTAAAAAATAAAAGTATAATAATCACTTAATGTTACTAAAGAAAAAAAAAGGTTAAAACTAATTAGATAACTACTGATTAAATATTGTGATAAAAAAATTAAAAATTAAAAGGAAAAATTTGTCAAATAAAATTAAAAAATTCGAATATGCTCATTGTTGGAATGCTAATCACTTTTTACTAGTCTCAAATTGTTTTTTGCTAGTTTTAAACCGCTAAATAAAAATTTTTATCTCACACTTAGTTTGTAGTGGTTTTAAAATAAACAAGTCTACTAAATATCTATTTTTAGTGGTTTAAACAAAATCATTTACCGTTTCTCTTAAATCATTATATATACCAAGCCGATTCTAAATTTCTTAAAAAATACTACCCAATAACATTAATTGGGCTCAAGTTACGTGAAACAAATTCTTTGGGCCTCTGGCATTCTACTCAAGTCTAACTCCTCCCATAATTTGAGGAGAAATTGCATTCAATGGAGGAAAAAAATAAAATTATATATGGTTATTCAACGTTAGAACAATCGAATATATTTAATATATAAATTAATGTCATTTTATAATTAATAAATCATAAGATAATGATAAATGGAATAAAAATTTTGAAACTAAGGTTGGTGACTAATAACCTGCAATAAGTTATATTCTTTAAAATATTAAAAAGAAAATCCTATATTATTTAATTCTTAATTTTTAAAATTTTTTTAAAACATATGATATTATGTATATCAATGTATTTAATAATATAATTTATATCATAATTGATGTTAAATTTTCATTTTCTATATCATTACTCTAAATCATAATATTTTAAATTAAATTATTTATAAATAATGATATTGTTGAAGTTTTATTTCAAAGAATTGAGATCAATTTATACATAAGTATTACATATAATTCTTATGTAAAATATTAATTATTATTATAAATGATTGAAACTTATTTTTATTTTATTTTTATTTTATTTTTTTAAATTAATTATTTTTATCTAAAAAAATCAAAATAAATTACGAATACAATTCAATTATCATTCTTAATGCGAGTGGATAATAAAAAAACACGTCACATGAGACAAAACTGAGGGAAGGAAATCAAGGAATACCGAGAAGAACAATTTGAAAAAGAAGGAAGCCAATGAGCACCCAAAGGGTCGCACGTTTCGATAAGCTTTTCTTTTCCCCATCCCAGTTTAAAATGTCTAATTAAGCCGATCCAACAGTTGCAAAAGGAGAATACAGAAGACCAAACGGCGGTTTGGATGCAAAACGAATGGGGACAAACACGATCCCCGGGAAAGGAGAACCCTGAATCAATGTGCCTGACACAAGACCAGACCCATGCATGCATGATATATACGCCATCTTAACATAGGAAAGTGAAAGAATTGCCAGTCATTTTCCCACTGATTCAATTCGTTGTTTGTGTTTGGCTGCGTTGCAAGTTAAGATGTTTCCCAACCAAGACACAACAACATTAGATTTCTCATTTTCCTTTCCTATATATTCTCTGCTTTATCAGTTTTTGTGTTATTTCAATGTTTTAGATTAATATATGGTTAAAAATGGGTGTACCATGAGTTAGTCCAATGTCTAAAATTTAAAGTTTTAGGTCAACACTTAAGAATATTAAAAAATTATTTTCTTTAAATAAATGAAATTATAGTAAAAAATATACATTTAAAATCGTGAAAAAAATTAATGTCACAATATACAAAAATTAACTAAAAAGCACATTAATAAGTGAAAATATATTTAAAAAAAAAAAGAGAGTAGGCGATATGCCCCCAGGCTCTTGACAAGATGCTTCCAAGTTCTTGGCTAAAAATGGGTGTACTATAAGTTAGTCCAGTGTTTAGTATTTTAGGTTTTAAGGTTAATATTTAAGATTTTTTTTAATGGTTAAAGTTGATTTGAGAATGTATTTTTAAAATAATTTAAAAAAATATAAAAATTAACTCTAAATCGCATGAATAAGTGTAAATATATAAAAAGCAGCGGACCATATGCGTCCAAGTTATTGACAAGATGCCCCTCAAGATGGAAAGTGGGGAAGGTGTTTTCTTTATTTATATTTTATGGTACGTGGAGGCTTTTTAAACATAAAATATACTGTACTATATAATTATGCATCAAAGAGGAAAAGAGAGAGATGTCCGTTTGTCTTTGTGTTTGGTGGAAACAAGAAACACGTCATTACACACCTAGCCTTATAGGCTAATTGGTTAACCATGTGTGTGCTTAATCTCATGAGTTAATTTGAGTCAATTTCCCCTACTTCAAAATTGCATCGTTCAAAAAAAAAAAAAATGAAACATATCATTATTTTTTATCAGCAAAGAAACAAGAGAAACATCATTAAATAATTAATTACTTCATGAAATAGTTTACAATAATTTTTCCTTCACTTGATCTTTATGTTCTGATTTAATGATTTTTTTTTTTTTGAGAAAAATGTAATTAGCAATGCATTAGGGAAACTGCCATATGACATCTACATCCAGACTTTATCCAAAAAGATAAGGGTAACAGACAAAGAAAAGAACAAACTAGAGAAGTAAAGCAGAGTAGGCCCAATGCATAGGAGGAAGGAAGGTGAAGTCACTCGAGCAAACTAAGGTTGACCGATCCAGCCATGAGACACCCTTCGATCTACTCCAGAGAGGATGGTGTGAGATCTCCAAGACGTCGCAGTAGAGAGCCAGTCCGGCAGTGACCAGATCTGAAAAATCAGTGAGCACCTCTCAAGATCTACAAGATAGAGCCAAGGGTCGTCTGATCTGAAAAACATAAATTATACAAGAACATAAAGTAAAACAAAATAACAAGAAAAAATAGGAAAACCAAAAAAGGTCACTGAAAATGGACCCAAAAGCCGACAGACCCGGAAGGGTCATCAGAGGAGGGAGCATAGGGCGGCTCCAGCATGCTTGAGCGGCCGGGAAGCCCGACGATTCAATCATCAAAACCTCGGAAGCTCGAAGGCTTTCAAGCAAAACCAACGCAGCACAGGAGAAAAGGGGCAAAAGTAGGAGAGAAGGGAGAGAAAAGGGAGAAAGAGAGAGAGGATGTTAATGATTTTAATTCTACATCAGTGTGAACCACTTCTTATGCAATATATGTTCGGGTCTATGGATCCCTTTTTCTAATTTCTATTTACTTAATATATATTAGTTTTCTTTCGTTCAAAGAAAAAAAAAAGGCTTTTCCTTGTCTTTTTTTTTTAATAAGGTAATTACATTACAATCATATTTAAGGAATGAAGAATTAAGATTAGTGATCAAGTTTGAAGTGAGGACTTAGGTGTCACATCACTGAATCTTTCATTGGACCACAACTTTGATTGGCTCCTTTTCTTCCTTTTTAATTCAAGGATGAAAATTTAATATTATATCAATAGATTTTCCTAAAAATAACTCTTCTTCAATTATTCTGTTTAAGAGAAAATTACAAATCAAGGTTTTTAATATTCTTAATTTGTTAAATAAGTTTTATAATTTTAACTTGTTTTTTTATGCTTTGACTAAGTAACGGTCATTTTTTGAATCAAAAGAGCTTATTATACCTTAAATTGGACAATGGCATCTAATTAAGGATACGTGGAGGCTCTATAGTTGTCCTGAGTCCCTTCAACGGAATAGCTTGAAGAGCAAGCCACCTAGAGACGAGTGTTAGCATCCCCCAGTAGATGCTCACCTATCAAGTGGTAACGAATGGCATAGTATCAAGTATATATCATTATTGTGGAATCACTATCATTCATTTCATTCTCTCCATCACCTTCTACCTCTCACCTACTTCTACATTAGGAAGACATATGACTCACGTTCACCAAATTTTTCCTTGACACGATGCTTATGTAAAGTACATTACTAAAATTTTGACTTTTAGCAACAAATATCAGCAACATAGATCCTTTGTTGCTGATAAATTGTATCACTTACAAGGTTTTAATTGCTGAAAGTTGTGCAGTATACATCACCAACCAACAAGATTTTTAATTATAAAAATAAATTTTTTAAAGATTATGAATTATTTAAAATATAATAATTTTAATCATTTGGTGGTGTGACGAGTTTTTTTAAGTATACAAGTTAAAAACATATTTATTATATTTTATTATTATTGATTTTTAATTATAAAAATAAATTTTTTAAAGATTATGAATTATTTAAAATATAATAATTTTAATCATTTGGTGGTGTGACGAGTTTTTTTATTTTAAATTTTAGCAACATAATACAATTCAGTGATGAGTAAAGGAATTCAAGTTCAAATGAGTTTTAGCAATATGGTCTAGATTGCTAATAGAGGGGTAAACTTTTAGCAACAAAGGCTATATCGCTGAAAGTTATTTATATACCCCAACCCCTTCTCTATGAATTCTGCAATATTTCTCCTCCCGCATGCCTTCCTTCTCCTCGTGTGGCCTGCTGCAAATCCTCTAGCCTATTGCAAACTTGCAACTCCTCTAGCCTGCTACAACATCCTCTACTGCAGCTCTCACCTTCCTTTTTTTTCCCTCTATTAGCACATGTCATTCGATCCATATGTATATATATTAATAATTGAAAAAATTCCATCAATTCCCTTTAAGTATATTTAAATTATATTTTTGTAAATATTACATTATCAAGTAGATATTAATTTATTTGGAAGTTAATATATTTATAAATAATTATCTTTAATAATTAATAATTTTGTTATTTTATTTGTTTTGTATGTAATTCTTAATAAAATAAAATTCAAGTTTGGTAAAATACATAATAAGACATTAATTAAT